GGGTTAGCCTGGTGGTGGGTATTGAGGAGGGCACGTTCTGCATGGAGCACTGGGTGTTATGCACAAACAATGAATCACGGAACACTACATCAAAAACTAATGATGTAATGTATGGTGATTAACATAAGAATAAAAAAATAAATAAAAAAAAATGAAAAGCCAGCTCCTGGGCAAACACGGAGGCTTCATTTCTCAGCCCAGCAGGGGAGGGAACCGCGGGAACCGAAGGAGCCAGGCCCCAGCGTCAATGCCAGCTGCCCCCAGCCCAGCGCAGCCCAGCCGGGCACAGAATCCCCAAGAAAAATACTAACGTGTGCGAGGGGGGGGCCCGAAATGAATCATCACGGAGGAAGCAGCTGTGTTGACGAAATTTTAAAGCCAACGCAAGAAAAGAAAATACGAACTGCAATATAGTAATTTACTTCTGTGAACGCGCTGGCACATTTTTAATTAAAGCCATTTTGGAGTTAAACAGAGGCCATGAGGGGAGCGGCGGGGGCAGCGGGAAGTGGGGGCCGCAGAGGCTCGCCGCCCTCCTGCCCAAACCCTGAAGCCACGTCCCCTGAAGGTGGTTCAAAGACGAATCCTGCTCTCTCCCGCTTCTCGCCAAAAGGCAGGTGCTCTCCACTCTCTGCAGAGCTGGAGGTTTCTGTGCAATTTGATTTCGGTGGCCAGACTTAAGTGCCAGAATCAAGTCCGACAAGCCAGGCCCATGAGGTCCAGGCCAGAATCCCACCCCCGGCAGGAATCTCTCTCTTTCTCCAGGATTCCCAAACGTGGTCATCCATCCCTCGATTACCTCCAAAGATGGCATGCTCACTATCTCAGTGAAGCAGAACTTCCTTATTCTGGGCAAGACCCAGCCTCCCCTCCCAGCCTCGGACTCTGGGTAGGGGATGGCCAGGGGCTCCCCAAGATGTATCCACCTAGTCCAGCTGTGCTAAGCGCTGGAGAGGCAGATGTGACCACAGAGAGCCAGCAGCCCAACCCGAGTACCTGACAGTCCAGCAGACGTGGGGGCCGAGCTCCCCAAGGGAGAATCACAACAACTAGCAGCTCACAGGGCTGAGAGCTCAGACTAAGTGCCGAGCCCCCCTAGGGGTGGTTGGGAAGGCTATCGGTAGGAGGCCATGCCTTCCTCCTGAGGAAGAAGAAAAAGTAAACCCTTTCTTCCCTGGACTCCCCTAGAATGAGGCCAGGACCGTCATCGTGGGCCTGCCGCAGCCCCCTATGCACATGAGTCCTGCTAGCTGGGACAAGGAGATGCTCAGGCCTGGGCCTGGTCACCCCTGTACCCCTAAAGCCGTCAATTACACACGAAGTGTGTGAGTGCCCATTTTCCAGGTGAGCAAACAGAGTGGTGCCATCTGAGCTGCCCCAGGAATCCAGAAGCAAGTGAGGTGTGAGTTGCCACCAGGAAGCCAAGAGCAGGCCAGGGGGGCCCCTCTCTGTCTCTCTCTCTCTCACCTCTCCTGCTTGGCTCAGAACAGTGGCGCCCCCCTCTGCAGCCAGCACCACTGGCCCACCCTCAAGGCCAAGCTCTGGTGACAGCAGGTGGCAGGAGCCCCACCCATGACCCCGGAGACATCCCGCCACCGCCAACAGCTCCCGGGTGCTCTTGCGGACTGTAGGTTGAGGGCCAAGTCTCTTGTTGCAGCCAGGTGCACAATGCACTGCGGGGGCCAAGGCCCCAGCACCACGGGGCTGCCCCCTTCTTGGGATGCTGGGTGTGGACCTAACACCCGCCCACTGGGAGACCCTGGGCAGAGTCCCGCTGAGGAAGAGACCAGGGAAGGGTCCTGGGTGCCCCAACCCCAGGACCCACACGAGCCCACACGGCTACCATCACACCAGCTTGGCTTCGCGAGGCTTCGTTCATTCAGCGAGAAAGGAAAGTTCTACCAGAGAAATAAGACACTTGCAGCCCTTTGTGCTGGATGCTTAGCTCCCAGTACTTGCCCGCTACTGGCCATAAGCCAGAAAAAAGCTCGTTCTTGTCCCCAAATCCCAGTCTAACCGCCCGCAGCCAGCAAGCCTGGATCCCGGCAACGCTCTGCATCCCTCCATCTAATGGACATCTTTGCCAAGCAGGCCTGGCCCAGGCATGGAGCACAGAACCCTACTGCTGCTGCCTCCGGGCCACGGCCCCAGGTCTGACCCCTGGGAGCAGGTCTGAGCAGGCTTGGGGGTGGGGTGCGGGCAGACAGCTGCCATGCCCTGACGCCCAGACACAGGGCCCCTGACAACCTCCCCCTCTCTACATGTGGGCATGGGGCCAGTGGGCACAGCTATGGGGGGGCCTCCCTTGTGACACCAGGGGTGCCCCCAGGGAGGAAGGAATAGAAGGGCCACCCCTCCATGGTGTGCACATTTCCCCCAAGTCCACAGCCAGGTCCACCACTGGGAACTGGGGTGTATTTTCCCAATGGGACAATGTGGCCCGGGACAGCAGGGGCCACGGGGCTGGGGACACGCCTGTCTTTGTGGAAAAGGGGCCACAAGCAATGCCCAGTTGGACCACAGAACAACATGGCACACAGCATCCTGAATTCGGGGCTTTGGGCGCTCAACCTGCTTCTCCAAGGGAACCATGAAACAAAGAACAGTCAGATGGGGACAGACTCACGAGGCCACTGACCCAAGGCTTCGGGTCCAGATCGTGGTCCTGGCCTTCATTCTGCTGTCCAGTGGCCGCAGCAAGCAGGACAGGTACGTGCTCCAAAGCAAAGGGCCCCGAACCTTAATGCTGGCCCCCACCACCCCCACTCCTCCTGGCATCACTTCGGCCTCAGCTCCTGCAGCCCAGCCCACGCCAGGCCCACATGGAATGCAAGGTGCCCCAGCCCCCAGCCAGATGAGACCCAGCCCCTCCCGGCACTACCCCCCCAGCCCCGAGGAGCCAAAGGAGCCAGCAGGCCTTGTGGCCAAGCCCTTCTGCCACACAGGACCTGAAACCATATAAAGTCACCGAACCAGCCTTGCAATTCGATGCCTGGCTCCACACCTGAACATGGGTGCAGTGGCCTTGGGGGTGTGGAGGAGTCGGGGGTGAACCGTGTACTCAGCCCAGTCCTGCTAGGCTGTGGGAACTGCCCACGCAGCCCACGTAGGGGTGAGGCGCAGGACTGCAGAGGTGGGGGTTGTACTCTGTGCCTGGGCCCTGAGCCTCCCAGCAGCCGCCCAGGGGCAGAGAGGGTGCCGTGGGCTTCCGAGCAGGACAGTGGCGCCAAGCCTGCTGGTCGCCTAGCAACGGGGCCAGGCAGCTGAGCCCTCCCTGGGGTTGGTTCCCAGAGAAACGCTCTGGGCATTCTGGCCGCCACTTGGCTGGGGGGGTGGGGGGGCCATGGCGGGGGAGGGGGGGGGGAGATCAAGCCCAGGATGGGTATGAGGGAGAGAGAGGCTGGAGGGGTTGGCCAAGCCGGCAGGCCCCCAGGACCCCGTGCGGGGCTGACCACAGCCTCCCATCCCCGCCCCACCCGCAGCAGAGAAGGCCCTCGTCCTGACAGTCATGACCATGACCCCCCCCCGTGCTCCAGCCACACTCAGCAGGAACAGAGCCGCCTGTCCCCCCTGCTCTGGCTGTTACCCTGCCCGGCCTCCCCCCTGCACTGCCCTCATCCTCCAGCCTCTAACCCACCAACCCACTGGGGACGTGCTGGGGATGAGACAGAGCCTCATCTGTCTGTGGGCACCAGCCAGGCCCAGGAGGGCGGAGAGTGCGCCCCAGACGGGAGAGGATCAGCATGCAGGAGGGGGGAGGTCTCCGTGTGGGTGGGGGCATGCCAGCCCCTCCCCGGCCTCGATCTGCCTGCCTGAGGGCCAAAGCAGCCCCTTCTTCAGCAACTGTGCATTCCACACCATCTCTGGGACAGGCCCAGGACTGGCCCGAGGGGCTCACAGACCAGCGGGGGACACCCCAAAGGCCATGGAGTGAGGATAAGGTCCATGACCCCAAAGTTCCAGGGGCTGCCTCGGATGGCAGTGGGGCAGGTGGGCAGCTATGGGTGTGAGGGTGGAAGGGAGCCCCAGGTAAGCTGGGACACAGGTGGGCGGGGGCTCGGGGGGTCAGGGGCAGGGCTCACGCTGGCCCCCAGAGTGCAGTAGGCACTGCCCCCCGCGGTCTCCCCCCAGCCAGCCTACCTGCACGAGGGCCTTGTCACCCTCCAGCAGCCTCACCTTGGTCTCCAGCTGCCTGATGTAGGTGGACGAGGGATCTGTAACGACACAAGTGGGGAGCACGTTAATCGCGGCAGACTCGGTTTCCAGTGAGAGACCCACACCCTGACTGAAGCCTCTGGGCCGGGGTTTCCAGAACCTGCAGAAAGGAGAGGGGTTCCCTTACCACCTGTCCTGTGCCTATTCCCTCAGCCTCTGTCACACTTCCCGTCCAAAAAGTGCTCCCAAACATCCCCCTGACAGGACCCTCACAGCCAGGGGGCAGCACACAGCAGGGAATGGGGTCCAGGGAGCCCCCTCCCCAACACAATGGGGAAACTGAGTCTCCTGAGCATACCGAGTCAGCATCCAGGGTTCCTCTGCTCCCCCCTGCCTAACACACAGGAACTTCTACTAAACAATTCACAGCTGGGGCGGGAGCAGGGGGTACATAATGCAAGTGAGACACCATCATTCTGGAAGGACTCTACTGACGAGAGCAGCCGGGAGCCGGGTACTGGGCCAAGCCAGTGACACACTCCCCAACCATGCACCCCCAGTTTCGGAATGCAGCAGGGTTTCTGAAATCCACCCTCCCTCACCACACTGACCTGTTTTACAATCACATCAGAAAGGCAGGCAAAATTCCACCACCCGGACTCCCAGAGCCCTGGTCCTGCCTCCCCAGCAGGCTAGAGATCGGCTGGGCCGGCAGAGGAGAAAAGCAAGGACTAAGTCCCTGCAGGCCAGGCTGGGATGAGGGAGACTACCAAGGTGGGAGCCCAGGGCAACAGAGCAGAGGGGCCAGGAGACGGATGTGGACCACAGAACAGGAAAGGCAAGGGGACCAAACCATCTTGACAGGTGCGGTCGTGCAGGTGGGCAGTCAGGTCCCACCTGGATGCACGGGGCACCTCCCTGCCTGGTCTGCAGCCACCCGGTAAGGGACAGGCTAGCGCCTCTCATCCACATGAGCACCTCGCCAGAGTTCACATGGCCCAGACACCGGCCTACACGCCATCCACTGGGCCAGCCACCGCTCCCCTACTGCACCCACCTGCCCCCGACAGGACAGAGTCTCCACGGTTCCACCACCAGCCCTTTGGCTCAGAAATCACCACACCTTTGACCAAAGCCACCTCTCTACACTGCAGCCTTGGGAGACGGACCCCACGGGACTTTTAACACACCGGGGTGGGCTAAAAGGGATTGGGTGCTGTCAGAGAACAAGCTGGACTATCATGCATCGGTGGGAAAATGAAGATCTGCCCACCCCAGCACACAGCCCGGCCCCCTGGGGACACGGATGTGGTGCCCCTCCCCCACTGGTGCTCAACGGGCGGCCCCCTCCCCAGAATGGCGTGCCCTCCCTCCCCTGGAGCTCGGCCTGGGCCTGCCATCGGCAAGGCCATTCTCTGAGGCTACCCCAGCTTTCACACACAGGTGCCCCTCTGCCCACTGAGCTGCCCGCTGTGGGGCACTTTGTTCTCCAAGCACAGGGGAAGGACCCTCAGGAGCTCCGCCCACCCAGCCCTGGACCAGGCCCGGGAGCATCAGCCCAGCCCGGGGCGGGAATGGGAGGGCGGCCGGGCCCACCCACTAGCTGCAGGGGAATTACACAACCAGCTCCTCTGGCCAGAGTCAGCACCAGTCAGCTCTCAGGAATGCCGGCCTTCTAGAGAGGGAGAAGGGCCACTCCTCACCAGGCCTGCCGCCCTCAGCCTCGGGGATGGCACTGGTGACTACCAGGCAGGGGGGGGGGGGGGGGCCCTGCTGCTCCCCACGCCACCTCACCGAGCCCCCAGCTCTGCAGAGCTCCCTTTGACAGCCAGGAAATCAAGGTTCTGAGACGTGAAGGGGCTTGTTCACGGCACAACTCAGGGCAGCAGCGAGGGGGGGCTGGACCCCAGGAGGGTGACCCCAAGGGCCTCCCCACTTGGACCCCGCATGCGTGCCCGGCGCTGGGCAGATCCCACCTGCCCGGGCAGGGGACCCTGGCCAGCCCCGTGGCCGCAGCTGTACAAAGGCATTCCTCGCACCCTTCTTCAGCCGGTGGTCACTAGAGTCCATGCCCTGTGCCTGCCCCCTGCCCTCCTGCCTCAGTTCATTCTCAACCAGCCGGGACTGACGGACACTCCCTACATCCCTTCCCACATCACTCCCACGCTAACAGG